GGTGGATTAGGTTGGGCGCGGGTAGCCTCGGCCAGTCTCGAGGGAGTTACTGGGGCGGCTCTATCGTCCTAAGGATGAATTAAATCAGGCTGATCCCGGGAGGAAGGGCACTAGGAAGGAAATCGGCCGGGTGTAGCTGCGCTGCTTTCCCCCCCCCCCCCGGGCTCGGACCCCATCCCACCTTGAAGTCACTGGCCCCACACTGGCACCACCCTCCGCCGGGCAGAGCGCGTGCGGCCGCCGCCGAGCACATGGGCCCTCGGGCCGGGCAGGCGCGGGGCGGACCGGACCCGGAGGAACAGCTCCGGGGCCGCGAACCAGGACGGGCCCGGCTCCCCCTGGGCTCCCCCGAGTGGATTTCCGCGCGGCAAGGATGTTGGCGGCCCCGGTGCCACGGCTTGGATCCACCTTCCAGTAAGTTAGAATTTTGCCCTCTGCGTTTCTGGGAAGTCGGGAGCTCGGGGCCTGGCGGGGAGGGATGCTCAGTGAGCAGCGGGACCGAGGCAGGGGCTTCGGATTCATGTCTGTGTTCATCGTGCACTTTCCTCATCCCCAGACTCCGGGCGGGCGTGTGGGGAGAGGGGGAGGGGTGGATGGTGACATCCCGTGCCCCGTGCATGGAGAGAGATTATTCTGGATCGAATGCACTTGATCCAACGTTGATTGCCTCATCTCTAAACATAGACCATCTCCAGTCAGCCCCGAGGTGGGGTCGCAGGTGCGGTTTGGAGGCCCCTCTGGTGAAACCAGAAGTCTGGGACCCATAGGATGCTCCCTCCATCCTTAGATCCTTAGACCATCCTCTCCTCACCCCCCACCCTCCCCCAAGGTGATTCCCCAAAACTCAGCAGCTCTGGTCTTTGAAACTTTTGCATCTTATTTCCAGATTTGCTGGGTGCCCCTTATCATGGTGATTTTGGGGGGATGGGCTGTTGATCTAATTAGGGTTGCCCTCCCTCCGGCTCATGTGCTCTGACTTATGCCAGTGTTTGTGGTCGGGTGTAGACTTGCAGGAAGGGCAGCCATGAGGCTGCATGTGTCCGGTGCATGGATACACCACGAATTTTCCTGATGGGTTTGCAGCCGTGGACTATTCTTCTGTTTATTCTAGCCCCTGCCTTCAGGCCCTTCTAGAAGATGAGAGAGTTTTTAGGGAGAAGAAGGGGAGGTTTGGGTGGTTCCTCCTGATCTATTTTCCAGAGGGAGGGCGGCAGGCCCCTCTCACCCACCTCACCACCAGCCAGACCAGGCTGCCGGAGCTGTTTGCTTGTTGGAGGAAACCATGGAGAACAGTGTGTTTGTGTGGGGTGGGTGGGCGGGGGCCCTGGGGACGCAGGGCCTGTGTGGGCTTCGCTGTCGGTTATAGGATGATGCAGGCCTCTTTTGCATACGGGCTGTGACAAGTTGAGGCTTGTTCATTTGACACAGTCCTGTGGTCACAGCTAATCGGTCCAAAGCTCCCACCCATGGCGTTGGGGCTTGTATGGATCCTCTGAACCCAGAGTGGAACTTCCTGAAAGTATTAGGAGCAAAAAAACGTCCCTGGGAGCAGCAGGAGACACAGAACCCCGGGCTGGCCGGAGCCTCGTGGCCTGGTCTCCACTGTCTGAGAGGAGTTCCGTCTTGAAGGTGAGCACTGCCTCGCGGTCTGAGCCCCTGGCGAGAGGGCCCAGCTGGAATCCCACGCCCTGGACTGGGGGGTGGAAGGGCTAGGGGGGTCCAGTGCCCATCCCGAGGCTGTGCCCACCGACCCCAGAGGCCATTTGCTATGTGGTGACCTTGTTGCTTTGCCCGGTTAAGGGTGACTTTGCTGTTGTTATTGTTGCTCTACCTACTTCGAGTGCAGAATTTTGCATGCAGCAGGCTTCTCTTGAAAAGTAGAAGAAATCAGTTTCTTTTTCTCATTGATTGCCCTCCCTCGCCCCTCCCCCTCCCCCGCTCCTCCATGCTGTGTGGTGTGCTCATCTGCTCCTGCCCGGAGCTTTTCTGGGCTGGGAAGAGGGAGCTTTTTCCTTGGTTCTGGAATATCTGACCCCCCCCCCCCCCGCCACCCCCCCTACCCCTGATGGTTTGTGTGGTTGCTGGTCAGTATCTCCGTCCACATCCAGCCAGTCCCTTGTGCTTCTAGCTTTTATTCTCCTGAATGGCACGAGGACCGGCTAGCTGGACTTGGGAGCCTGTGTCACCATGGCCGGGGCATGGTGCTCGGACAGCTCAGCTAAGGGGTCTCTTGGGGGATAAGACACCGTCCTTTCTTCCTCCTTGTATGAGTGACCCTGAATTTGGTCAGACTGAAGGCAGATCAACCCTTTCCTGGGGAAGTGAGGACCTTGGATAGTTGCCAGATCCGGTCCCTCGTCTCATTCCCTGGCCTGTTCGCTTCACAGGGTGTGTTTTTCATGTCAGACACCCTCCTGGACACTCGGCTTTTTATTATGTATTTCCTTTCATAGTTGGGTGTAGACTCTCCCTAATCTCCCCCCCGCCTTCCCATGCTGGTTTGTGTTCTCTTTAAGAGATCAAGACCCCCATCTTTATATACTCAGTGTCTGCAGGGCACCCTGACCCAAGATGGGAACAGAGCAATACTCTAGAATAATTCAATACTCTAGAATAATTCTGACTGTTTTTTGTTGAGGATATTTTCCCATTAATTTTTATAGAGAGTGGAAGGGAGGGGGAGAGATAGATAAACATCAGTGTGAGAGAGACACATCGATTGGTTACCTCCCGCACCCGCCCAGACCGGGGCCAGGGATCGAGCCTGCGACCAAGGTACATGCCCTTGATCAGAATCGAACCCGTGACCCTTCAGTCCGCAGGCTGACTCTCTATCCACTGAGCCAAACCAGCTAAGCCTAGAATAATTCTGACTATTGATGAGCCGCATTGATGGTCACTTCTCTACCTTCCCTTGAAAACTTCAGAAATTCGAGGCCTTACAGGCGAAAACTGCCAAAATGTGTTCTTTCATGGTACCTCCTCGGTCTCTTCTGTTTTTCTGGCCCCAAGTAACTAGTAACAGTATAGTAATTAATAATAACAACAATAATAGTAGCTCCCATAACATTAAAATTGTATATCGTGCCAAGAATGTTCTTTGCAGTTTATGTTCCCTGCGAACCCACGAGGCAGATATAATCAAATGTCTAGTAATGATGGATTTCTTATTGCGGGCCGACCTCAGTTCCAAATGCTTTAGATGTATTATCTCATTTAATCTCCCAACAATCATGTAAGACGGGATTATTATTATTGCTGTTTTACAGATGAGGAAGCCACAGCTCAGAGAGGTTAAGAATATTCACTCAGGTCACACAGCTAGGTGGTGGCTATGTGACCAGCGTGTCATTACTGTGACCCTTCGCAGTGGATGGGAGCTATGGGAGCTAGAGCTCTTTTTGCAAGTGATAAGGTCGCCTCCCCCCTCCCCCACCTGTTCTGAGTACCTGCCTCTATCCTGGGTGTGTTTAGGTGCAGTAGTCACCCTAAGAACACAAAGATTGTGGTGGCCCCTCTCTCAACCTTTATCATGAAACCAAAAAGCAGCTCTGACTGGGGTAGCTCAGTTGGTTGGAGCATTGTCCCGTGCACCAAAAGGTTGCAGGTTTGATTCCCGGTGAGAGCACATGCCCAGATTGTGGGCTAGAGCCTCAGTTGGGGTGTTTGCAGGAGGCAGCCAATTGATGTTTCTCTCTCTCTCTCTCCCTCTCCCTCCCACTCTCTCTAAAATCAATTAAAAAACAAAAACAAAACAAAACAAAAAATAAAATAAAATCAATTAAAAAACAACAGCAATGCTAGGTCATAAAAAACAGTGGTCTCAGTCATTTTTTATTTTTTAATATATACATATTTTTTATTGTTGCTGGTATTACAGATCTCTCCCATATCCCCCCCTTCCTCCCAGCCCCTACCTGCACCCCCAGGTCTTCACCACCCTATTGCCCGTGCCCATGCTCAGTCATTTATTAATTGCAGAATTCTGAATGGGCTTTCTTTTATTTTCTCTTCCTCGTTTTTTTGGGGGTGCGGGTGGTGGTGGTTATGGGGTATTGTTTGGCTGGTACCTGGTGGGTTATCTGAGCTGCAGTATTATTTGTTTACCTGCCTCTTTTCCCTCCTTGACCATGAACTTGAGTGCAGCAGCCAGCTGGCTGTGGAGGTAGTCATGTTCACAGGTCTGGTGGCTCACCCAGCCCTGGGAACTTGGCTGAATTGCGTGGCTGTGAGAATTGCTTTGTTTTCAAGGAAACAAGTGGTGCTCAGCCTACAGTCCTTGTTGTGTTAGGTGAGAAACAGCCTGACAGGCCGGGACGTGGAGGGGTTGTCCCCAGGACAAGGACACTGAAGAGGGAGGAAGAAAGTGGCAGAAGGCATCTGGGAAAATTGAAGGGCAGTGTGGATCTGGGTCACTTTGGGGCAGGTTGCTTCGCCTCTCTAAGCCTCGGTTTCCTCGTCTCTAAAGTGGGGAGGATAAAGCGCCAACTTCACAGGTTGCTGTGAGGAGGAAATAGCGAAATAGCGGAAGAGCAGCAGGCCATTAGCAGAGGGCCTGAGCTCCCAGTGCGCACTCAGTACGGTTGCTAATATTATTAGTTCTAATGATCGGGGTTTGCAACTTCCTGTGGCTGCTTGGAGTGGTGGTTTCTGAATGCATTTTCACGTGCAAAGGTGTAACATTCTGGTTACAGAGACTCTAAGTGGCAGCACCCTCACTGGAGCTCTTTGCAGGCAGCTGAAAGGAATCCTGGCCAATTAAGAAAGAGGAAGCCAGGAGAGCTGCAGGAGCAGGGCTCAGAGGGGCAGGCATCAGAGGGCACCCGGGGGTGGCCCTGCCTTTGCACTTGGCTCTCTGTGCATCCATTTCCTCAGCTGCTGCCCTGGGAGGACACGCTCCCTCCCAGGGATGGGGCAAAAGCACTTAGCACAGAGGAAGTCAGCTCTTGAGTAAGACAGCAAAGCAATGGTTATTACTTATTCTTCTCCGGGACTCCCTTTTCCTGGTAAGTGAGCCCCAACCGACATTGGCTATTCTGTTTAAGATCGATTCATTGATGGACTCACTCATTTGCTCAGCGTTTATTAAGCTGTTACCAGGCGTCCTAGACGCTGGAGATACCAAAGAGGCGGCATCCTTGTCATCTAATTGGTCCAAGCCCCCGGCGTGGGGACAGGGTGGTCCCCAGGAGGAGCAGGGGCCTGATGGAGGCGGCGCAGACAAAAACCACATGGGCTCCAGTGCCCGGGGGTGGGGGGTGCTGGCACCCCTGTGTTAGTGGATGGAGGATGCTTCGCGAAGGGCCTGGCACATGGTAATGACTATATACTCGGTCATTGCTATATTTGTTGTTATTATGGTTATGATTTTTCCCTTGGCGGCTGCCTCATAAAACGGCAACCTCCCTTTCTCC